CGGGTGCAGTGGCTCACAGCTGTAACCCCAGCACTTTGAGAGGGTGAGGCAGACAGATCACTTGAGATCAGGAGTTTAAGACCAGCCTGGTTAACATGGTGAAACCCCATCTCTACTAAAAATACAAAAACTAGCTGGGAGTGGTGGCAGGCACCAGCTACTTGGGAGGCTGAGACAGGAGAATCGCTTGAACCCAGGAGGCAGAGGTTACAGTGAGCTGAGATGGCGCCATTGCACTTCAGCCTGGGTGACTGACAAAGCAAGACTCCATCTCCAAAAAAAAAAAAAAAAAGGAAGGAAGAGTGTGGGGGAGCTGCAAGGCCAAGGTCCTTCTGCTGCATGTACTTGTTTCAGACAGGTTAGGACTTCCCCATAACTTTGTGGGGACACAGCTCAACCCCGTAACACATCTCTGTGGGAGCGACTGTCCAAAGCAAAGAGTCAGGTTCAAGGGGCTTGTCTGGAGGGTTTGCCCACTCCCTCCCTTATGCACTGAATATTTACTGTGGGCCTTGCCCATGTGCAAGGAATGTTTGGGTCAGGCAGGATGGACTGTGGGCTTTGGTGCAGCCCAGAAAGAATCTGTGCAGCTGGGCGCGGTGGCTCATGCCTGTAATCCCAGCACTTTGGGAGCCCAAGGCAGGTGAATTACCTGAGGTCGGGAGTTTGAGACCAGCCTGGCCAACATGGTGAAACTCCACCTTTACTAAAAATGCAGAAGTTAGCAAGGCGTGGTGGCACGCGCTTGTAGTCCCAGCTATTTGGGAGGCTGAGGCAGGAGAATTGCTTGAACCTGGGAGGCGGAGGCTGCAGTGAGCTGAGATCGTGCCCCTGCACTCCAGCCTGGGCAACAGAGTGAGACTCCGTCTCAAAAAAAAAAAAAATTGCTTGAACCCAGGAGGCAGAGGTTGTAGTGAGCCAAGATGCGCCACTGCACTCCAGCCTGGGCAACAGAGTGAGACTGTCTCAATAAAAGGAAAAATAAAAGTCATGCAAGATTGGGAACAGGTGAGTCAGAGTCCTGCCCTCTTGTGTTTATAGAAGGAATCTACTTGGAGACCAAGGTGGGCGGATCACCTGAGGTCGGGAATTCAAGACCAACCTGACCGACATGGTGAAACCCCATCTTAAAAAAAAAAAAATAGGCCGGGCGCGGTGGCTCACGCCTGTAATCCCAGCACTTGGGGAGGCCGAGGCGGGTGGATCACGAGGTCAAGAGATCGAGACCATCCTGGTCAACATGGTGAAACCCTGTCTCTACTAAAAATACAAAAAATTAGCTGGGCATGGTGGCGCGTGTCTGTAGTCCCAGCTACTCAGGAGGCTGAGGCAGGAGAAATGCCTGAACCCAGGAGGCGGAGGTTGCGGTGAGCCGAGATCGCGCCATTGCACTCCAGCCTGGGTAACAAGAGCGAAACTCCATCTCAAAAAAAAAAAAAAAGAAAGAAAGAAAGAAAGGAAAGAAACGAAGAAAGAAAGAAAGAGAGAGTGAGAGAGAGAGAGGGAGAGAGAGAGAGAGAGAAGAAAGAAAGAGAAAGAAAGAAAGAAAGAAAGAGTCTACTTAAAGGGCTGAAATGCAAGGTAGGGAGTTCTGAGTGCCAACAAGGATGGCAGGAGGAGATAGACGATCTGGGGAGGAGGACAGCTTAGCTCCAGCTAGGGCTGAGAATGGCTCTCTGGGGAGGGAGTGGCCTTTGAACTGTGCCTTGCATGACTGGTAGGCATTGGAGAACAGGCAGTGCAGAGGGGCCGTTCCAGGTGGGGCAGAGAGTGCACACAGGCTTGCAGGTGGGAGGAAAGCTTTGGGCAGATGTGGGAAGGGGCTGAGCTTAGCTGGAGCGAGGGGTGCGTGCCATGAATAGTAGCATGGCAGCTTGACAAGGCCAGCTGGAGCCAGTAAGTAATTCAGTTCAGAAATTCTTACTGTACCAGAGAAGAGTAACAGGGAAAGACTCAGAAAGAGTGTCTCCTGGACAGGCACAGTGGCTCACACCTGTAATCCCAGCACTTTGGGAGGCCAAGGCAGGTGGATCACAAGGTCAGGAGTTCGAGACCAACCTGCCAACATGGTGAAACCCCATCTCTACTAAAAGTACAAAAATTAGCCAGGTGTGGTGGCATGCACCTGTAGCCCCAGCTACTCAGGAGGCTGAGGCAGGAGAATCGCTGGAACCGAGGAGGTAGAGGCTGCAGTGAGCCGAGATTGCGTCACTGCACTCCAGCCTAGGCGACAGAGTGAGACTCCGTCTCAAAAAAATAAAGAAAGAAAGAGAGTGTCTCCTGAATATGTGTGATGTACATTTCATCTGTTAACTTTGTCTTAGGGAAGAAGGAGGGGCCAGTGTGAGTGACGTCAGTGACACTGAAGTGAACGTGGGCATTGCCAGTGGTGCTCCGTCAGTGCCTATGGTAGGTACAGCCAGAGATGGCCCCTTAGTGACCATCGTCCACATGGTGGGAGAGAGGGCGCAGGGCCTGGGAGGGCCCCTGATGCTCTGGCTAAAGCGCTTGCCTCACTTGCTTAGTGAAATGTGAATGCGGATGCGGATGCTTGGCCCATCTGCCTCTGTGGGTTTGGGGTCTCATGCCTGGAAGCGTTCAGGCCTGGGGAAGCCCCGTGTGAGAATTGCGCACAGCCCTCCTGGTGTCCTGTCACTGCTCTTCCTTCTGTCACCTCCAGGTAGAAATCAGTGGTTGGTGTGAGGTCACCCACTAAGATGCTTGCTTTAAGTACAACGTGTGAACCATGCAGCCTGGATGGCGGTGGCCAGGGGTCCCCAGGCTGCTAGCAGGATTCGTCAGGGATTCAGAGCTGTGGAGGCTGAAATCACGTAGTGAAAATGAAGTTGTCTGAGCCATTGGCCTGGGCCCTGTGTCTGCAGGTGTGAGGGATGCGGGATTGGTTCACGCTCTGGGGGGCAGCCCCTGTGCTTTTACCGTCGTCTTGCTGTGACTGCTGAGGTTTCACGGGCACTGTGACTGATCACCTAACAGCAGTCATTTATATGGCACCTTGTAGCTTCCAGAGAGCAATTCCATTTATTGCTCGTTGACTCTGTGACTTGAGTGTTGTCATCATCCTGCCAAAGGCCAGGTTCACAGAGGGAAGTGATGGGCTGTGTGGAGTGAGGTGGCCCTTTAGCATCACCCTGGCTTTAAATCAGGGCACTAGATCTCCCTTGAGTCTGTTTGTTTTGAGACAGAGTTTTGTTCTGGTGGCTCAGCCTCACGAGTAGCTGGGACTGCAGGCATCTGCCACCATACCTGGCTAATTTTTGTCTTTTTAGTAGAGATGAGATTTTGCCATGTTGGTCAAGCTGGTCTCAAACTTCTGACCTCAGGTGATTCACCTGCCTTGGCCTCCCAAAGTGCTGGGATTATAGGCGTGCACCACTGCACCCAGCTGAGTCTGGTTCTTCCACAGGCTCTTAACCACTGAGCCTCAGCTTCCTCACTGGTGAAGCGGCGATGATGACGATGATCGTAGTGAATGTCTCTTGAGTGTTTTTTATTTTGTTTTTTGAGACAGCTCTCGCTCTGTCCCCCAGGTTGGAGTGCAGTGGTGCCATCATGGCTCACAGCAGTTTAACCTCCCAGGTTCAAGTGATCCTCCTGCCTCAGCTTCCCGAGTAGCTGGGACTGTTGGTGCATGCCACCGTGCCCAGCTAATTTTTGTACTTTTTTTTGTAGAGATGGGGTTTTGCCCTGTTAGCCAGGCTGTTCTTAAACTCTTGGGCTCAAGTGATCCGCCTGCCTCAGCCTCTCCAAGTACTGGGATTACAGGCATGAGCCACTGCGCCTGGCCCCTCTTGAGTGCTTTCTGTGCTCCAGGGACTGTTTAGTGCTTTACGTGTGTTCACGCATTTAACCCTGACTGTAGCCCGTAAGCTGGGTACTACTCTTCTTTTTCCTCTTGCGAGATCGAGTCTTGTTCTGTCGCCCAGGCTGGAGTGCAGTGGTGTGATCTCGGCTCACTGCAACCCCTGCCTTCTGGGTTCCAGCAATTTTCCTGCCTCGGCCTCCCGAGAGCTGGGATTATAGGTGCGCACCACCAAGCCCAGCTAATTTTTTGTATTTTTAGTATTAGCAGGGCATTAATCATGTTGGCCAGGCTGGTCTCGAACTCCCGACCCTGTGATTCACCTGCCTCGGTCTCCCAAAGTGCTGGGATTACAGGTGTGAGCCACCACACTAGATACTATTCTTATCAGTATTTTACACAAGGAAATGGAGATTCAGAGAGGTTAAGTACCTTGCTCAAAGTCACACAGCCAGTGAGTGGTGGAGCTAAGCCTCAAACCTGAGCCACAGAGCCCGTACTCTATTACTGTCCCCCGTCCTACCTCTGTGACGCTCCTGGCCTTACCAGCAGGGTGTAGAAGGCACAGGCTGGCAATGTGTGGTGCTATCACGGGAATGCTTTCTTCCTCCCTTTCCCAAGGCCAGTTAGGTCCAGGTCCCTGTCTCCATATCCCATGCCTTTCTGCACCATCAAGTTGCCCCCAAAGTAGAGCCTTTGCTGGTCCCTGGAGGAGGTGCCTCCGTTCAGAAGAGGCCTTCAATGCTCATAGGCCTCTTGGCTTCGAAGCCGGGTTTTGCCTGGAACTGCTTCCTCAGATGAAACTGTATGTGGAAGTGTAACGAGGCATACTGCCTTTATTTTTAAAATAACACTCTTTCTTTTGCTGTCATCCTGGGTAGAGGCTGGTGACTGGTGGGAGTGTAAGATTGTCTTTTTTTTTTTTTTTTTTTGAGATGGAGTCTTACTCTGTCACCCAGGTTCGAGGACATGATCTTGGCTCACTGCAACCCCCACCTCCTGGGTTCAGGTGATTCTCCTGCCTCAGCCTCTGAGTAGCTGGGGTTACAGGTGCCCACCACCACACCCGGCTAGTTTTTGTATTTTTAGTCACCATGTTGGCCACACTGGTCTTGAACTCCTGACCTCAGGCAGTCCACCTGCTTTGGCCTCCCATAGTGATGGGATTACATGTGTGAGCCACCATGCCCAGCCCAGATAAACACTTACAGTCACTCTGTAGTTCCAGAGGGTGACTTGAAGTAGGGAGACAGGCAGTGCCTGGAGGGACATGGGTCAGGTATGCTGACCCCCATTCACCCATCGGAAGTTGGCTCGAGGGTCCCCTTCTCAAGGTGGCCTTCCCCAGCTGCCCTGCCTCTGGCTTTCAGAGCCCCGTGTGCCCCTCCTTCGTGGCTCCCGGCACAATTGCAATTGAACACTCCCGGGTGATGACTTAATGACTGCCTGTCTCTCCCACCAGACCAGGGTTTCTCAGCCTTGGCACAGTTGACATTTGGGGCTGGATAATTGGTTGAGAGGGGTCACCTGTGCAAGTCGAATGTTGAGCGGCATCCCTGGCCTGGATAAGCCTGATGCCAGAAGCATCCCCCAGTCGAGACAACCAGACTGTCTCTACCCATGCCAGGTGTCCCCTGAGAGATGGAGTCGCCCCTGGCTGAGAACCACTGCTGGGGTAAGATCGAGTTTGGGGTGGGGGAACATAGGTCATTTTGTGTGCTGTTTAAAGGATTACTTGGGTTAAAGGGAAGTGAGTCGTTGACGTTTGTAGTTCTAATATGTTGATCTCTTCCAGGATTATGGCAGGAAAAGTAAAATGGGTCACTGATATCGAGAAGTCAGTGCTGATCAATAACTTTGAGAAGAGAGGATGGGTCCAAGTGACAGAAAACGAGGATTGGAATTTCTACTGGTAAGCATACAAAGCAGGGCTGGGTGGTTTCTCTGAGGCTTGTGTATCGGTTTTGTTAGTTCCAGTGCACCTTGGGACTGGCCTCAGAGCCAGTATCTCCTGTCGTGTGCCGTCTCCCAGCATGCATTTTTCCTTAGGACTCTCTGTGAGAGTGTGTGTGACGGCGTGTTCCCACCTCGCTGTGTGCAGCCTGTGGTGTGAAGCCCAGGGTGTTTCAGCGCAACTAAGTGTGAGTAACCCCGTGGGGAACTTGGGTGAGAAACAAGAGCCTCAGCCTTCCCCTTCCAGTGAGCGTGTGTTACAGCTGGCCTGAAGGACAGGGAAGACGGCTGTGGAAGAAGGCTTGGTGCATCTTTTTTTTCTTTTTTATTTATTTATTTTAAAACGGGGTTTCACCATGTTGGTCAGGCTGGTCTTGAACTCCTGACGTCGGGTGATCCGCCCCCCCTTGGCCTCCAAAGTGCTTGGATTACAGGTGTGAGCCACCATGCCCAGCCGGTGCATCTTTTTTTTCAAGACAAAGTCTTGCTCTGTCACCCGGTCTGGAATGCAATGGTGAGACCTCAACTCACTTCAACCTCCGCCTCCTGGGTTCAAGCAATTCTCATGCCTCAGCCTCCTGAGTACCTGGGATTACAGGTGCACACCAACATACCCGGCTAATTTTTTGTATTTTTAGTAGAGACGGGTTGTCACCATGTTGGTCAGGCTGGTCTCGAACTCCTGACCTTGTGATCCACCCACTTGGCCTTCCAAAGTGCTGGGATTACAGGCATGAGCCACTGTACCCAGCTACTTATTTATTTTTTTTTAACACATGCATATTTTCTAGAGACTGGGTTTCACTCTGTTGCCCAGGCTGGAGTGCCGTGGTGTGATCATACCTCCTGCAGCCTTGCCCTTCTGAGCCCAAGCCGTCCTCCCACCTCAGCCTCCTGAGTTTCTAGGACCACAGGCATGCGCCACCACACCCACCTAACTTTTAAAATTATCTGTAAAGTCAGGGTTTCACCATGTTGTCCAGGCTGGTCTCCAACTCCTGGCTTCAAGCAATCCTCCTGCTTCAGCCTCTCAGAATGTTGGGATCACAGGTGTGAGCCACCACACCTGTCCAGGTGCCTTCTTTTGCTTCCCTGTCCTATGCCAAGAGGGTGCTAGTCAGACTGGCAGACAGACAGCAATAGAAAAGTGAGTCAGGCCAGGCACGGTGGCTCGAGCCTGTAATCCCAGCATTTTGGGAGGCCGAGGCGGGTGGATCACCTGAGGTCAGGAGTTCGAGACTAGCCTGGCCAACATGGTGAAATCCCATCTCTACTAAAAATAGAAAAAGTAGCTGGGCATGGTGACGTGCCCTTGTAATCCCAGCTACTTTCGAGGCTGAGGCAGGAGAATTGCTTGAACCCAGGAGGCAGAAGTTGCAGTGAGCCACTGTTCTCCGGCCTGGGTGACAGAGCGAGACTCTGCCTCAAAACAAAAAAAAAAAAGGAAACTGAGTTAGACTAGGACAAGAAAAGCAGTGTTTTGGCTGGGTGCAGTGGTTCACGCCTGTAATCCCAACACTTTGGGAGGCTGAGGCAGGCAGATCACGAGGTCAGGAGAGATCAGCCTGGCCAACATAGTGAAATCCCGTCTCTACTAAAAATACAAAAAAATTAGCTGGATGTGGTTGCTCACACTTGTAACGCCAGCACTTTGTGAGGCTGAGGCAGGCGGATCACAAGGTCAGGAGTTCGAGCCCAGCCAGGCCAACGTGGGGAAACCCTGTTGCTACTAAAAATACATAAATTACCTGGGTATGGTTGTGCATGCCTGTAGTCCCAGCTACTCAGGAGGCTGACACAGGAGAATTTCTTGAACCCGGGAGGCGGAGGTTGCAGTGAACCAAGATTGCGCCATTGCATTCCAGTTTGGGCACAGAGCGAGACTCCGTCTCAAAAAAAAAAAAAAAACAAAGTGCTGGATTACAAACAGAAGCCTGGCCAGCTCTTTATTTTGAAAACTGATGAAAGAATCAAGCAATGATTCTGTTTTGTGTATGAACTGTTCTTAGGGCTTCTATATTGTTGATGAAGGGGAGCCTGTCTCTAGCAGTATTCCTGCTGTTGCAGGCACGGTGGCTTATGCTTGTAATCCCAGCACTTGGGATGCCTAGGCGGAGGATGAGTTGGGTCAAGGAGTTTGAGACCAGCCTGGGCAACATGGCAAAACCCCATCTCTACAAAAAAAGTTACAAAAATTGAGCTAGACACGGTGGTGCCTTCCTGTAGTCCCAGTTACTTGGGAGGCTGAGGCAGGAGGATCACTTGAGCCTGGGAGGCAGAGGTTGCAGTGAGCCAAGATCAAGCCATGGCACTCCGGCCTGGGTGACAGAGCGAGACCCTGTCTCAAAAATAAATAAATACATAAATATTGCTTTTTTAGTTCTGATAATTGTATAAAATAGGATGTCACATAATAGAACATGGAGTCTTGAACTCTTAGAGAATCTTTATTTATTTATTTATTTTTAAAGATGGGGTTTCACCATGTTGGTCAGGCTGGTCTTGAACTCCTGACCTCAGGTGATCTGCCCGCCTTGGCCTCCAAAGTGCTTGGATTACAGGCATGAGCCACTATGCCCGGCCAGAGAATCTTAAGACAGCAATGTTTTGGATGAAATAATATGATGTCCAGGAATTGGTTCAGAACGTGCCAGTGCTGAGGGGGATGGAGGTTCAGACTAAATGTGACTGGCCACATGCCATTAACTGGCAAAGTGGGGTAATGGGGGTCCCTTAATGCTTTCTCTCTCCTTTATTCTCTTATTCCCTTTATTCTGGCTGTCCTGGAATCCACAGCAGCTCTTTGGGGACTCTGGGCACCCTCTCGAGGGTGGTGCTGTGGGGTGGGGGTAGGCTGGGGGCACAGGGGCTGCAGTGCAAGAGGCCGGCGCCACCTGCCATGTTTTGTGACTCAGGCTCTGGGCGGGGGCCAGCCCTTCCTCCATACCCCTTCCCTGCTTTGCAGGGGGTTGGTGAGGACAGGCGTGTGACAGGGAGACCGTGGCTTTCTCAGAGGCTTGGAAGGAATCCATTTCCCTTTTAGCTCTGTCGTCCCCCACTTGCCGCCTCAGCAAACTCTGCAAGGATTTCAAGTACTGACTCAGGGCTCTTACATATAACCCCTGTGATTTTGTTTTTAAAGGGTCCTTGGGCCGGGCATGGTGGCTCATGCCTGAAATCCCAGCACTTTGGGAGGCCAAGGCGAGCGGAACATCTGAGGTTGGGAATTCGAGACCAGCCTAACCAACATGGAGAAACCCCGTCTGTACTAAAAATATAAAAAATTAGGCGTGGTGGCTTGTGCCTGTAATCCCAGCTACTCGGGAGGCTGAGGCAGGAGAATCGCTTGAACCTAGGAGGCGGAGGTTGCTGTGAGCCAAGAGCACACCATTGTACTCCAGCCCAGGCAACAAGAGCATAACTCTGTCTCTAAAGAAATCAATAAATAAAATTAAAAAGTAAAAAAATAAAGGGTCCTTGACTTTCCTGAATTTGGGTGCAGTTATTGTTTAAATGAGGTTCTTGACTTCAGAGTCTGAAAAGGGTATATATTTTATTTGTTGACAGTGTTATTATTAATCAATGTTATTACTAATCAATGTTATAACATTTATTGAGCTCCTGCTCCTGGCCAGAGAGGGAGGCTGGGGCACAGAATCAGCACAGTTCCTGGCCCTCACACAGCTTGGGTCCCAGCCTGTCCCAGCCAGGGCCGGGCAGCCCCTGGCTCAGGTGCCAGGGGATATGGGAGTAGTGGGGAAGGGTGCTGAGGGTTCTGGATGTTTGCAGGGATGGGAACAAGGACTTCTGCCACACAGACATCACTACCGAGTGTCCGTCCTGCTCATCTCTTACAGGATGAGCGTGCAAACCATCCGAAATGTGTTCAGTGTCGAAACTGGATATCGGCTCTCAGACGATCAAATAGTCAACCATTTTCCAAACCACTATGAACTGACCCGGAAGGATCTGATGGTGAAGAACATCAAAAGATACAGGAAGGAGCTAGAGAAAGAAGGGAGTCCCCTGGCAGAAAAAGATGAAAATGGAAAATACCTCTATCTGGGTTTGTGCCTTTTCCCCGGCTCATGTTTTCATTTAACAGCTGAATGTTTTCTTTGGGGCTTGAGGCACCGAGGTGGTGACTGCTGGCTTTGGCACATGAGCGTGTCCACGCGGGTGTCACTTCAGGTGTCTCCAGAATGAGGGAGCAGGAGGAGTTTGAGTTTGGCATCTGAATTTCTGCGAGTGCCTTGGGAATTGCCTGGCATGGGCTTTGTGCAAGCCAGAGAATGCCCTCAGTGCTCAGCCTAGGGAAACATTTCTTGAGCCACAGGCTGCCACGAGGGCTCATGACTGCCTGTCTGGCTCTACCCAGGGAAGACACTGTGTCCCTGTCCAGTCCGGGGATAAAAGCTGGACTGAATAGTTTCAGATTCCTGCACAAACCTGGGCAGAATTTGATAACTGACCTCCCTGAGCCTCAGTTTGCTCATCTGCTAAATGGGAATTATTACAGGGTTTACAGTAGCTCGCAGGTGGCTGTGGGGATTGAAAAATACAGGTTTCAAGCGCGCGTGGTGGCTCACGCCTGTAATCCCAGCACTTTGGAGGCCAAGGCAGGCAGATCAAGAGATCAAGACCATGGGCCGGGCGTGGTGGCTCATGCCTGTAATCCAAGCACTTTGGAGGCCAAGGTGGGCGGATCACCTCAGGTCAGGAGTTCAAGACCAGCCTGACCAACATGGTGAAACCTTGTCTTTATAAAAATTAAAGAAAAAGAGATCAAGACCATCCTGGCCAACATGGTAAAACCCCGTCTCTACTAAAACTACAAAAATTAGCTGGGTGTGCTGGCGCACACGTGTAATCCCAGCTACTTGGGAGGCTGAGGCAGGAGAATCACTTGAACCCAGGAGATGGAGGTTGCAGTGAGCTGAGATGCCACTGCACTCCAGCCTGGGCAACAGAGCAAGACTCCATCTCAAAAAAAAAAAAAAAAAAAAATACAGGTTTATAAGGTGCTTAGATAGGCTCCGTGAATGTAGCTTGTGTCGTCCAGGGATTGCGCAGCAGAGGCCCTGGTTCTGTTAGCTGCTGGGCTGGGGTGGGGAGCACTTAGTCCGAAGTCCCTGGAAAGGCAGGGGCAAGATCTTTCTGTTGATGGCCGCAGTTGGGCTGGCCCCTTACCAGCACTGGGTGCCTTTGCCTTGCAGACTTTGTTCCCGTCACCTACATGCTGCCCGCTGACTATAATCTGTTCGTAGAGGAGTTCCGGAAGAGCCCGTCCAGCACCTGGATCATGAAGCCTTGTGGCAAGGCCCAGGGAAAGGGCATCTTCCTAATCAACAAGCTCTCACAGATCAAAAAGTGGTCCCGGGACAGCAAGACGTCTTCGTAAGTGTGGGCAGCCACCCGCTCTGCGTGCCAGGTCCCAGTTCACCGTTTTATGCTGTTCTGCAGAATTTGTGGGATGGTTGTGGTTTTTTTTTTTTTTGAGACAGAGTCTTGCCCGGTCGCCAGGCTAGAATGCAGTGGCGCAATCTTGACTCACTGTAACCTCCGCCTCCCGGGTTCAAGCGATTCTCCTGTCTCAACCTCCTGAGCAGCTGGGACTACAGGCATGTGCCACCATGCCCACCTAATTTTTGTATTTTTAGTAGAGATGGGGTTTCACAGCGTTGGCCAGGATGCTCTCGATCTCTTGACCTCATGTTCCGCCCACCGTGGCCTCCCAAAGTGCTGGGATTACAGGCGTGAGTCACTGCACCTGACTTTGGGGTTTTTTTGTTTGTTTGACAGACTTTTGCTCTGTCACCAGGCTAGAGTGTAGTAGTGCAAATCTCAGCTCACTGCAACCTCTGCCTCCTGGGCTCAAGTGATTCTCCTGCTTCAGCCTCCTGAGTAGCTGGGATTGCAGGCATGCACCACCATGCCCGGCTAATTTTTTTTTTTTTTTAAATAAAGACGGGGTTTCACCATGTTGGTCAGGCTGGTCTTGAGCTCCCAACCTCAGGTGATCCGCCCGCCTTGGCCTCCAAAGTGCTTGGAGCACTTTACAGGCGTGAGCCACCACGCCCAGCCTGTTTTTTTTTTTAATAGAGGGAGTTTTGCAGCCAGGTGCAGTGACTCACACCAGTAATCCCAGCACTTTGGGAGGCCGAGGTGGGTGGATCATGCAGTCAGGAGTTCAAGACTAGCCTGGCAAAGATGGTGAAACCCCGTCTCTACTGAAAATACATAAGAAATTTAGCTGGGTGCGATGGCAGGTGCCTGTAATTCCAGCTGTGTAGGAAGCTGAGGCAGGAGAATCCCTTGAACTCTGTGGGGCCAGAGGTTGCAGTGAGCTGAGATCACACCACTGCACTGCAGCCTGGGTGACAGAGTGAGACTCTGTCTCAAAAAAAAGAGAGAGAGGATTTTGCCCTGTTGGTCAGGCTGGTCTCGAACTCCTGACCTCAGGGTGATCCGCCTGCCTTGGCATCCCAAAGTGCTGGGATTACAGGCGTGAGCCACGGCGCCCGGCCTGTTCTTTGGTCTTTGGCCATGAGCCAGGCAGCCCACGCTAGGTTTTGCAGGTGTGCGTCATCTGTCACGTGGCGTCACAGCGGAGCTCTGTGGCTGTCTTCGGGTGATTAGTCCCAGACTGCCTGAGGCAGGCCATGAGGAAGACGGTGTAGGTCATGGGCCAGGACCTGCAGCCGCTCTTTGATTACAGGTTGGTGTGAGAACTGCTCATTCGTGGTGGTTCTTGAGGCAATGAGACACCGACCTAAATCCTGGGACTGGGGGCTCTGAGGTCCTGGGTTTGAGGCCTAGTCTGACACGCACTGGCTGAGTGTATTTTTTTCCACAGAGTCTCCCTGTCTTACATTCTCCATCCGAGTAAAATGGGGACACCAGCAGCTCCATCGCCGGGGGATTGTGGGGATGGAACGAATGAACACATGTGAAGCCTGAAGCATTTGGAAAGGGCTGGGCAGTGGCCCCGTGCTCTGGTCCACAGGGCAAGCCCAGGGCCTGGGTCTGCCGGCTCTTCTTGGTCTTTGTTTTTTCTCAGCTGCTCAGAAGTGTCTGGGGGCCACTGGGGCAAAGCTTCTGTCTGATCCTTTTCCAGTGGGGAGAGGACTCACTTGTCAGTAGTTCCCAGGGTAACAGGAGATTCCTTATTTTATAGTACGTTTAAGTAGGTTTCTTTTTTGGTTTTTTGACACGGAGTCTCACTGTCACCCAGGCTGGAGTGCAGTAGCATGATCTCAGCTGACTGCAACCTCACGCCTCCCAGGCTCAAGTGATCCTCTTACCTTTTTTGGTTTTTTGACACGGAGTCTCACTGTCACCCAGGCTGGAGTGCAGTAGCATGATCTCAGCTGACTGCAACCTCACGCCTCCCAGGCTCAAGTGATCCTCTTACCTCAGCCTCCTGAATAGCTGAGATCACAGGTGCCCGCCACCATGCCTGGGTAATTATTGGATTTTTTAGTAGAGACGGGGTTTCACCATGTTGGCCAGGCTGGTCTTGAACTCCTGACCTCAAGTAATCCACCCGCCTCGGCCTCCCATGCTGGGATTACAGGGGGTAAGCCACCGCTCCTGGCCTAAAACAAATTTTTTTTTTTTTAAGACAGGATCATGGCTCACTGCAACCTCAGCCTCCTGGGCCCAAGCCTCCTGAGGAAAGGGACTGTAGGTTTACACCACTACACCTGACTAATTTGTTTTTTTTTTTTTAGAGGCAGGGTTTCATCATGTTGCCCAAGTTGGTGTCAAATTCCCAGGCTCAAGTGATCTGCCTGCCTCAGCCTCCCAAAGTGCTGGGACTACAGGTGTCGGCCACCACGCCCGGCCGTGCTTAAATCTGATTACACTTTGCCAGCCCCCAGTGGTCAGGCCCAAGGAGGAATTCCCTGAATGGACTCCTGGGGACTCTCCTGCAGCTGCCTGCGCTGTCCTCTGGGGCAGAGGGTGTCCTCCACGGATACACCTCACCCCATTTCCTTCCTGACGATCCAGCCCCTCATAGTGAGAGGCCGGGAGCTTGTTGCCAGCTGAATAAATGAACCTTCGGTCTTTACTATCAATTTTTTTTCCAGTAGCTTGATTTTTTTTTTTTTTAGACGGAGTCTAGCACTGTCGCCTAAGCTATAGTGCAGTCGCTCGATCTCAGCCCAATGCAATCTCTGCCTCCTGGGTTCAAGCAATTCTCCTTCCTCAGCCTCCCGAGTAGCTGGGACTACAGGTGTGCACCACCACGCCCAGCTATTTTTTGTGTGTTTTTAGTAGAGATGGGGTTTCACCATGTTGGCCAAGATGGTCTTGATCTCCTGACCTTGTGATCTGCCCACCTCGGCCTCCCAAAGTACTGGGATTACAGGTGTGAGCCACCGTGCCCAGCCCAGTAGCTTGATTTTTTAGAGCAGTTTTAGGTTTACCACACAATTGAATAAGATACAGAGATTTTTTTTTTTTCCGATACCCCTTCCCCTACACATGCACAGCCTCCCCCATCAGAATGGAACATTTGTTAAAATTGGCAAACTGATTATCTGGGTGTTGTGGTACATGCCTGTAGTCTCCGCTACCCGCCAGGCGAAGGTGAGACTATCACTTGAGCCCAGGAGGCTGCAGTGAGCTGTGATCGAACCACTGTACTCCAGCCTGGCAACACAGCAAGACCATCTTGGAAAAAAAAAAAAAAAAATCTGGCCAGGTCCATGGTGGCACATGCCTGTAATCCCAGCCCTTTGGGAGGCCAAGGCAGGCAGATCACTTGAGGTTGGGAGTTCAAGACCACTCTGGCCAACATGGCAAAACTCTTTCTAAACTAAAAATGCAAACCTTAGCCAGGCATGGTGGCTGGCGCCTGTAATCCCAGCTACTCGGGAGGCTGAGGCAGGAGAATTGCCTGAACCCAGGAGGTAGAGGTTGTAGTGAACTGAGATCATGCCGATGCACTGCAGCCTGGGCAACAGAGAGAGACTCTCTCTCAATATATATATATATATATATATATATATATTACATAAATTGGCAGACTGACACCAACTCATCATCGTCCAAAGGCCATAGGGTTTACTCTTAGTGTTGTTCATTCTGGGAACTTAGACAAATGTATAATGACATGGATCCACCATTATTTTATTTTATTTTTTTGAGATGGAGTCTTGCTCTGTCACCCAGGCTGGAGTGCAGTGGTGCAATCTCAGTTCACTGCAACCTCCGCCTCCTGGGTTCAAGCGATTCTTCTGCCTCAGCCTCCCAAGTAGCTGGGACTACAGGCACGCACCATGATACCCAGCTAAGTTTTGTATGTTTAGTAGAGACAGGGTTTCACCACGTTGGCCAGGCTTATCTTAAACTCCAGACCTCAAGTGGTCCTCCCACCTCGGCCTCCCAAAGTGCTGTGATTACAGGCGTGAACCACCACGCCCGGTCAAAAATGTTTAATTTTAAAATTTGAATGGAGTCTACTTTGTCAGTTATTTTATTCATGGATTGTGTCTTCAGTATTGCACCTTTTACCATCTAACTCTTACTTTCTCTGACATGTTTAGGTTTGTGTCTCAATCTAATAAAGAAGCCTACGTGATCTCTCTCTATATCAACAACCCTTTACTTATTGGCGGGAGGAAGTTCGACCTGCGCTTGTACGTTCTGGTGTCTACGTACCGTCCGCTGCGCTGTTACATGTAAGCGTCCCTAAGGTTTGGGCTCTCTCTTGATTGTGTTTTCACCTTAAACCTCTTCCTCCTTCGCACCGTTGTGAGGTTTGATAAAACAGTGCATGTGCAGTGCCTGGCACAGGGCAGGGATTGAGGGACGTAAGAGCAGTCAGCCGTGACGCTGATGTGAGTTGTGTAAATCACACACACAAGAGCAGCTCTTTTTAGAGAATGACGTGGTATCTGTTCTTTGTGTTTCTCCCTGGAGTTTGAATTAATCTACATTCCCACCTAGGTATAAACTTGGGTTTTGCCGGTTTTGCACAGTGAAATACACCCCGAGTACCAGTGAGCTGGACAACATGTTCGTTCATCTCACCAACGTTGCCATCCAGAAACATGGGGTGAGTGTGTCCTTCCATTTGTGCTTATAGAAATGGACTGATTTTTCAGGCTGGGCATGGTGGCTCACCCCTATAATCCCAGCACTTTGGGAGACTGAGGCAGTGGATCACCTGAGGTCAGGAGCTCAAGACCAGCCTGGCCAACGTGGCAAAACCCTGTCTCTATTAAAAATATAAAAAGTAGGCTGGGCATGGTGCCCCATGCCTGTAATCCCGGCACTATGGGAAGCCAAGCTGGGTGGATCACCTGAGGTCAGGAGTTCAAGGCCAGCCTGACCAACACGGGGACATCCCATCTCTACTAAAAAAAATACAGAAATTACCATGGTGACACTCACCTGTAATCCTAGCTACTTGGGAGGCTGAGGCAGGAGAATCGCTTGAACCTGGGAGGCAGAGGTTGCAGTGAGCCAAGATCGAGCCATTGCACACTCCAGCCTGGGCAACAGAGGGAGACTTCGTCTCAAAAAAAAAAAAAAAAAGAAAAGAAAAAAGGATCAACTTTGTGGGGTTTTTTCTCCTATTTTTTCAAGAACAGTGTGGGTAAGGAGTGATACTCAAGGTATGTCCTGGCTTAAGGCTGGGCACTGATGGGACTGGGAGGCTCTGGGCATAGGTGGGCTGGCCTGGGGCACATCAGCTGAATGCCAGGGGCGGGTGGGGGCACCTGGAGAAAGAAGACAGCAGGCTCAAGCCCTGCCTTTCTAGTTCTGCGGCCTTGGGCAAGTCAGTCTAACTCTCAGAGCCTCAGTTTCTCCATTTATAAAAGGAGATCATAGAGGCCAGGAGCGGTGGCTCACGCCTGTAATCCCAGCACTTTGGGAGGCCAAGGCAGGTGGATCACGAGGTCAAGAGATCAAGACCATCCTGGCCAACATGGAGAAACCCCGTCTCTACTAAAAAATAAAATACAGAAATTAGCCGGGAGTGGTGATGCACACCTGTGGTCCCAGCTACTCGGGAGGCTGAGGCAGGAGAATCACATGAACCCAGGAGGCACAGGTTTCCGTGAGCCGAGATCATGCCACTGCACTCCAGCCTGGGCGACAAGAGTGAAACTCTATCTCAAAAAAACAATAATAAATAAATAAATAAATAAAAGGAGATCATAGTGTTACCTTGCAGGACTGTTGGGAGAATGTCATGAGATGACAGTCCCTGATTTACCCGGCTTAGCTTACAGTTGTCGCGTTTTCAGTGCTGTGAAATCGACATGCATTCAGTAGGAACCGTACCCATGCAACCATTTGTTTTTTTGCTTTGAGTACAGTAGTCAATAAATTATGTGAGCTGTTTCACACTTTATTATATAATAGGCTTTGTGTTTGTTCTCAGCATATTTTAGATAGGCAAGGCTAAGCTGTGATATTCAGTAGGTTACGTGTATTCAATGCACTTTTTTTTTTTTCTTGCTCTGTTGCCCCAGTTGGAGTGCAGTAGCACGATCTTGGCTCACCACAACCTCTGCCTAACCTGGGTTCAGCGATTTTGCTGACTCAGCCTCCTGAGAAGCTGAGACTACAGGCACCCGCCACCACACCCAGGCTAATTTTTGTATTTTTAGTAGAGACATGGTTTCACCATGTTGGCCAGGCTGGTCTCGAACTCCTGACCTCAAGTGATCTGCCCACCTCAACCTCCCAAAGTGCTGGAATTACAGGCATGAGCCACTGTGCCTGGCCTTAAGTGCACTTTCAGCTTACAATCTTTGCAACTTGCTATGGCTTCATCTGGACATAACCCTATTGAGGGGCATCTGTACACTTTGAGCACCTGTGTGAGTTGATCCCATTCCGAGTGCCCAGGATAGAGTGATAGGCAAAGCCTACCTTAGTACCTACTCTCATGGTTCCCAGAGCTTCCAGGGGAGGCATTCATCAAATAATCACCCTTATGAATCTAAAACTATAAACCCAGCTGCTTGCACTGAAAGTGAGGAACACACATCTAGAAGAGCATGGAACAAAAGAAGCCGCTGGTCAAGTGGTTGGAGAAGGCCTCCCTGCAGAAGTGGTGCTGGAGCCGAGATCTGAAGCATGATCAGGGATAACCTGGAGGAGGCAGGGAGGTTCCATAGCAGTCAGTACAGCATGTGACAAGGCCCTGTTGCAAGAAGGAGCGTTGCAGGGGCCGAGAGGAAGCCAGTGTGGTGGGAGCCCCAGCGTGAGGGTAGTGGACGGGGAGGGGCTGGAGAGGCCAGTGAGGCCAGACACAAGGAGCTTGTGGGCTCAGTTCAGGTTTAGGGCTCTAATTTCACCCCAACACAAACCAAAGGTCTCATTTATTTTCTTTCTATTATTATTAGTTTCTTGAGACGGAATTTCACTCTTGTTGCTCAGGCTAGAGTGCAATGGCACAATCTCAGCTCACCACAACCTCCACCTTCCTGGTTCAAGCGATTCTCCTGCCTCAGCCTCCCAAGTAGCTGGGATGACAGGCATGCACCACCACGCCCAGCTAATTTTGTATTTTTAGTAGAGATGGGGTTTCTCCATGTTAGTCAAGCTGGTCTCAAACTCCTTATCTCAGGTGATCCACCCGCCTTGGCCTCTCAAAGTATTGGGATTACAGGCGTGAGCCACCTCGCCCAGCCCAAAGGTCTCATTTCTTTTTCTTTTTTCTTTTTTTTTTTTTTGAGATGGAGTTTCGCTCTTGTTGCCTAGGCTACAGTGCAGTGGCAGGATCTCAGCTTATTGCAACCTCTGCCTCCTGGGTTCAAGTGATTCTCCTGCCTCAGCCTCCCGAGTAGCTGGGATTACAGATGTGCACCACCACTAAATATTTGTATTTTTATAGAGATGGGGTTTCACCATGTTGGCCAGGCTGGTCTCAAACTCCTGACCCCAGGTGATCCACCCGCCTCAGCCTCCCAAAGTGCTGGGATTACAAGCATGAGCCACCGCACCCAGCCAGGTCTCATTTCTTTATGAAAGTCTTTCTTTGATTTGAATCTTCTTTGAATAGAAGTCTTGAATGCTCTGGTCTTTTTTATAATTTGAGGAGAAAGAGGGTGAGTAGTGGTAAGAAATATGTATTTCTAGGCCGGGCGCGGTGGCTCACGCCTGTAATCCCAGCACTTTGGGAGGCTGAGGCGGGTGGATCACGAGGTCAAGAGATCGAGACCATCCTGGTCAACACGGTGAAACCCTGTCTCTACTAAAAATACAAAAAATCAACTGGGCATGGTGGCGCGTGCCTGTAATCCCAGCTACTCAGGAGGCTGAGGCAGGAGAATTGCCTGAACCCAGGAGGCGGAGGTTGCGGTGAGCCGAGATCGCGCCATTGCACTCCAGCCTGGGTAACAAGAGTTTCGCTCTTGTTACCCAGGCTGGAGTGCAATGGC